ATTCTGTGTTTTTCTGTCAATATGGGGTGCTGTGTGTACATTAATGAGGAAAAAAATGAACTTAAATGATTTTAGCATATGGCTGCAATATAACAAAGAGTGAAAAATTTAAGGGGTCTGAATACTTTCTGTACCCACTGTAGATGCACGTTTTATTTGCAAAAAACAGAACGTGGCAGACTGCTAGCTCTTCTAGATATGAGAAACCATGAGCATGTATGAGTGTGTGTGTGTGTGGGTGGGTGGAAGCGAAGGGGGGGATGTTAAGCGCTGAGAAAGCTGCCCGCCTGCCTGCCTGCCTGTCCGTACTCACATTCAATGTACTGCTGTAGCTGGATGAAGTCGACAGGGTTCAGTTCCTTCACCTCTGGGTTTGTGGGGGTGGACATGTTGCGCTAACTGCCTGCCTGTGCACAGACGAGAGAAACAGTGAGATGCAGAGAAAAGAGAAGGTGGGTGCACAGTAGCCCGCTTCTTTGTAAAACACAAAAGCATGGCTGCAAGCAAAAGATAGCATCTGCCACCTCGCACTGTAAAAATTCACACTCAACATCCAAACTCTGAGTGATGCAGAAGCGACTATCTGTAGAATCACGCAGAGCATCCGCAGTCAACACTGTACACGTGTGAAAAGGTATTTTCTCTTCTGGTAAATACAATGGCTGTTTATATTAGGCAAACCACCTTATATGCTATTGACAAAGCCACAGTCATTTTTTATTATGTGTGTAGACAGAAACATTTTCTTGTACGAGATTCTGAAATGTGATCTAACTGCCATATACGTATAAGCGATTTTGTCTCGACTACACACTGTGTTTATTTTACGTTTAACATCTGTAACATGTGACCAGCCACTCAGAACTGGGCCAAAAGTCTGGTAGAAACTGTGTCAGGCTAAACCTACCCATGATACCTTAACTCTGGGGATTTTCTGCACCCAAAATCTTTTTCCATACACTCGCTGGCTCATTTAAAACTTATAAAATATCACATATGGGGAGGGTTTAGTTTGGGTTAGCAGAAGAGAATACAGTGTCGAGATAAACCATTATAATTTGCAAAGAGGTCAAAAAAACCAAACTGGCTTGTCAAGGGAACTGTCAAGGGAACTCCCCTTTAAACTAAAGGAAGTAACTCAAATGTCATACAAGACTGAAAGTGACCATAAAAGCTGATTCTGACACAGAATGGGGACATACAATCACAATAAAAACTGCTAAAGCATGTCATTGTGAAATGCTTAGTGTGAAGACTGAATGAACATTCAGTGGGCTCGATATGCATGCTTTCATCAGAAGTGTGTTACAACCACTCTTAAAACATGGAAGTTGACTAATGACAGGAAAACAAACAAACATATCTAGTCAATAAGTGAAGGAAGCAGTAGGACTAGGTAACGGTACATCCTGTTTATTAACATTATGATTGAGGCTTTATGCTGATAAAATGGTGCAATAGCAAACAGTGATAAATCAATACAACAATGCAGAATTTAAAGAATGTCTGAAATGAAATCAGTATATTTTACAATGATGTTTATTGACATTTGTTTTTCTGATTCACTGACATGTTTTGTTCATGGTAAGAAGAGCTTTTACATTTTATCCTGAGAGCTAAGACACATGTTCACATCTTTCCCTTCATCTTCATTGCATAAGATGTTAACCCTTCTGTGGCAGTGTGGTAAGTGTGCTGCGGTGTTCGATACCCAGACTCAGATGGGTATCTTCTGTTTTAGATCTATTGTTCTACGTACTGTGGGCACATCAGTGGCTCTATTTATAGGCCCCCACTATTCTGACTGGTGTGTGATAAATTTGGTGGCTTAGTGTTTGCACCTGGAAAAAACTGTGCTCGTCGAGCTCAAAGGGCGATGACGTGAGTTTACTATTGACTGCATGTGTTTGCAAAATGAGCAGCATATGTGGTGCAATGATTCACTTGTGAGCACTTTTGTTGTTTTGCAAGAAAAAGAGTTTTACAAATGGAAAGTGGAAAGTGTGTATCTTTTGAGGGCCGAGGGAAGGGTGTGGGTTTCTGTGCTGGGGGAGCCAACTGGCAATCAAGAAGAACTGGAACTGTGTTACAACAAAACATGTTTGTAGAAGTGAAAGGACACTTTTTACATTTACAAACAAAATGTGGGTTGATTTACCAATAAAATGCTCAGTTCACTGCTCTCGAGAGTTGTGTTGCTACTTAGTGTGGTATGAGGAGTAGCTTATTGATAAGTGAAAGACTCAGTCAGTTTACTGCCTTTATGACTCCTCTGTACTTGTTTCATCTCCACTTATTGCACCATTTTACGATTTACCATTACGATTACCATCTGTTATCTATACTGCTTATCCTAACAAGGGTTGCTACAGCCAATCCCAGCTGATACTGGACAGAGACAGTCTATCAGAGGGCTGACATGTAGACAAACAACCACACCCAGGGGCAATTTAGAGTCGCCAGTCAACCTGAGCTGCATGTCTTTGGACTGTGGGAGGGAGCCGGAGCACCGGGAGAAAACCCAAGCAGGAACAGGGAGAACATGCAGACTCCACGCAGAAAGGCCCCGGGTCGGCCGGGACTCAAACCTGAAGCCTTCTTGCTGTGAGGCGACAGTGCTAACCACTGCGCCAATGTGCCGCCATTACCATTAACCTGTAATCATCAGTTGTTCAGCAAAAGCTACAAAGTCTCACTTTAAAGGATTGAGCCCATAAATGTTTTCTATATCTGCAGAATGTTTTGCCATCCCAGCTGTAGAACCTCATATTTTCCTGAAACTTGCCTGACTTGTGTCAACCATCACAGCAGCAACTGGATCAGGTTTTGTCTAAACTACATTACCATTATGAGGTAAGATTTTAAACCAGTCTACAATCTAATGAAGCTTTAAAAACAATCATTTCTTTTTATGAATCTGACGCTCCTGCTTTTCTATTCCAACCATCGACTGCCGTTCATATATAACTATATTAAACTCAATTATCAGACTGTTTAAGCTTATTTGACGTCCATTCCAACGCTTTGGAAAATGATTAGGAGTAAAGAAGTGCGCCACAGGAGCTAGTCAGTTTGGCATCCAGCAGTGATTCCAGTAATTTCCCACAAAACACTGTAAAGGTTCCCACGAGGGGGGAAGAGTTTAAAATTAGAATAAGATAAATATACTGAACCCGGTTTTGAAGAGTTACATACACATGCTGTAAATCTGCTGTCTGATACCTAGAAATATCTTACCATCAACCACACAAATACAAAGTGAAAGTGAATTAAAGACAGTGTTGTTTTCAGTCCAGGCTGTTCACACTTTTGTGCACAGGTGTTACTGCACAGGCTGCACATCATCAATTGCAGCCAGTATCAATGACGGCTGTCTGCACTGAATAGAAAATCAGAGCTCTTAAATGACAGAGTGCACTGAGAAAATGAAAGAGTCTGAATAACACCCACTTCTTACATGTGATCCATATGCTCTTTGGATTCTGAAAGGTTCACACTGTCCTCAGTAATTCCCCCAAAAGGTCAGCATCGTTGCCTAGCAGTTCTGTTGATGCAGCCGATCAGGTGGGCTAGTATGGTGATAAAAATACTATCAAAAATGGTACAAATGCGTGTTTAACGTTTTGTCTGTAACAAGCCATTTGTGTGTGTGTCATGAGGATCACAAATGCGTGCTGCGCAATCTGCACGTATAAAGCCATTTGTGTGTGTGTGTGTGTGTCATGCTGTACAAACTGCACATAAAACACATTTTACAAATGCTTAAAATCGATTTTTTGTGTGCAGTTCTTTAGAAAGTACGTACACAGTGTTACCTACGCATGCGTGGATCGTCTAACACACGAATCACTAGTGATGTGACGTTCCGTATCGAGGCTTCGAAGCTTGTGCCGAGTAGGGGAGGGGGCGTTTCCGCGATGCGGTATCGAGGCTTTCGTGATGACGTCCGAAGCCTCGCTGCCCGGCTGTACCACGTGACTGATTCAGGAAGTGGTTCGGATTTTCAAAAAAAAGAATTCGCCTGCCACAGTGGAGAAACTGTTGTTTTTAAATAAAAACCAATGATGTGTCCCCTAAACCATAATCACTGGCCATACCTCAACGTTACAAAAGCACAATCATTGTCCATACCCCAACCCCAACCCCCCTCACCTCACTGTAAATAATCATTTCCAAATAATCATTTTCCATACTGCCAGTATATATATATACACAGTATACTGGCATCACTACAATATACATGTTTTGCTTACTTCTTCATTTTGCTGACAGTTTTCTGCAAAATGCCACACACTTCAAATTCATGCCAACTGATATTGTTGCATCCAGTAGTCTACTACTGGAGTCCTACTAGAGCAAATGAAGCTTCAAGAAGCTTTGCTGGAGTGAACCAATTGGATGAAAGCTTCATTGCTTCATGAAGCTTCATCTGCCCATCACTACGAATCACCTTCCGGGCACACACGGATTTTTGAGAGTGTTTTTCCGCACTCTCAAAAGTCCACAATCCACGAATGCACGGTGCGTTTAAGGACACGTGGAAAACTCGAACATCTGAGTTTCCAAACCTGTTTCCCAAACAAAAGTATTTACACAACGCTATTCCAAATGGACATTACATAAAATAAACAAAAATATCTAATACATAACACGTTTTATAATTGCGACGTGCAGTGGTGGTATTAAGAGGTGAATTAAGTCGGGTAAGTCTCCACTGAAGGCCAGGTACCAAATGCACGGCCCGCCACAGTTTAATATATATAAAAAATGTCCATTTGGAATAGCGTTGTGTAAATACTTTTGTTTGGGAAACAGGTTTGGAAACTCAGATGTCCGAGTTTTCCACGTGTCCTTAAACGCACCATGCATTCGTGGATCGTGGACTTTTGAGAGTGCGGAAAAACACTCTCAAAAATCCGTGTGTGCGCGGAAGGTGATTCGTGTGTGTTAGACGATCCACGCATGCGTAGGTAACAATGTGTACCTACTTTCTAAAGAACTGCACACAAAAAAAATCGATTTTAAGCATTTGTAAAATGTGTTTTATGTGCAGTTTGTACAGCATGACACACACACACAAATGGCTTGTTACAGACAAAACGTTAAACACGCATTTGTAACATTTTTGATAGTATTTTATCTCCATAGGCCTCCACAGGTCTGTATCGACAGCGAAGCCACACATGAAGGAACCATTAAAAGCCATCTGTTACTGCTCACCTGATTAAAGCGTGAAGCTAAAAATACAGTCCTGACTCAATCTTCACTGTCTTCTAAATAAACTAAAAATAGGGCTTCTGAGGTTTATTCACACATAAAAGACAGCTCTTATTTCAGATAACTCCCAGGTGTTCTTTATGCTTTCCAGAGGGGTGTGATGCATCATGTCTACTTTGCATCCTCACTGAAAGACTAGCATCGTCATTATTGTCTGGTTCAACAACATCTTGGGCCTGTCTGAGTAATCTGATTCCTCACTTCCTGATTAGATAATGATTTGCATGCATGGTGCACTATGGCAATCAGGACCAGAGGAAGAGGCATCTCCTGCACTTAGAGGACAAGTGTTATATGTACTGAGCCACTTGTCTCCACTCTATAACACTGAATGGAGTTCTGAAAAGTAATGGCACCATCTAAATGAGCTTACTGAAGCAAGCATAAATATTTCAGGAGGTCCCAGGTCTTCTGAAGACTTACTACAGACAGCGTGACGTACTGTTTCTGGCCAGACTCAATAATGTTACACTGCTGGGCTAAAGTTAACTAGAAGATGCTTTATGAGGGAACTGTTTATGCTGCTTTTGTGTTGTAGAGTTTCTGTTGTGTAGACAGACTGATTTAAATGCAGGCTAACAGGAGTCACGTTGCCATCGCTCAGTGTGATTTACATGTTTAGAATAGGTTTGCTCGACTGACACACGACCTCTGTTTGAAAACACTGTTCAGTGTCACTCCACATAAACAGTACAGAATAAATGGTGCAGCATTTGTTTTGAACAGAAACATACAAACGCTACAGCCTAGTGGCGCTAGGCCAGGCCACTTCTGGATCTTTAAACAGCTGTAAAGAACAACTAAAGTGGCTCTTCCAGTAGCAACAGCCTGTAAACACGACATCCACTCCCATCTCTGACAAACCATCTGTTTAGAGCCTGACACCCACTTTTACTTCTGACCGCTCCACTAAATAAAAAACCTTCAAAGCAACTGCTTCATAAAAATTCACACAGTGAAATAACTGAAGGGTTAAAATGGACGGTTCAGTTGGCATTTTCCTTTACACGTGCCATCCATTTAATTATGAACCCTTAATGTCATGATGTAAAACTGTCATCAACCATAAAACACTCTCTTTACAAGACTCATTTCAAAGTAAACTTGGGGATGACCTTTTTCCAGCAGGCTAATGTTTGTGCAAGCTGCCATAACTCCCACGCCTTGTGTCAAGGAAATCTGCTGTTTTGCAACACTCGCAGGGTGCAAGCCACTGACTCCGTCACTCTGCGGTTGGAAAACACCACGCATGTTCTTTCAACCGGGGCTGATGTCTAAATCTTATGTTGAGCATTTGCAACAATTCTCTTTCCTGAAGTGTGTGCAGACTTCCTTAGATTAACAGAAGGGGGGAGGACAGACGCGCTTGGCTGCTATGGAAAGTGTTTCCCTCCATCAGCTGCTCTCCGTCAGAGCGCTGCCACGGGCGACTAACAGGTAGGAGGAGGCAAAAGCAGAGAGGGAGGCAGGCAGCTGATGGAAGGGCGAGCACAGAGAGTAGCTGTGAGTCTTCCCCCTCGTTTGGCCTTCAGAAATTGCATTTGCAACATGCAGATGCTGCTGTGACTCATTTCATAGTCAGGGGAATACTCCCTCACTATAAATGAGCTGTGTGCTCAAAGGATCACTTGGCAAGATGGTACAAACTAACAGGAGTAATTTACTTAGTGGTTGGACACATCATTTAAGTATTGCTAGGACATAAGCACTACTTCATCTGGTTGTTTTACATATGTGGCTTAGTTCAGTATTGTGGTATTGTGCTAGCAAATACTATATATAGAGATAGCTAGATAGAAACAAAGGGGTATATTTTTCATTTTTAATCGGTGTTATGCACAGCATGGCCCAGGGTAAGGTAGTAATATGGATCTAGTCAGTGCTAGATCATCAGTTGAGTAATCTTTTTGCATAATGATGTAAGAAATAGGGTCAAAGGTAACGGCAAGGTCATTTTTAAAACAGGGACCACTTTGTCTGTTACTATATTTGAAGAATCCTGTGTTAATCAAACTACAGCAGGCTCTAGTTCATAGGACCACACTGGAGAAATTGAACACAACAAACATGGACTGTAAATCAGACACAAAAACTAAACAAAAACCCAAAAGACATTCACCACAGTATGAATCACTGACTTGTTGGACATTGTAGGCGAAGCTTTGCTCGCTCCCTGCCTTCAAAGTGAGGACTGCCCATCACTCACAGTTGAATGGGACTTACATAATAGCTTTATGTGGAGGCAGCCTTGTAGAACACCATGCAGCGTGACAAAAACCTCAAACCTGCCCAGACTTGTGAGGGTGCACGCTGTCATACAGCAACCACACTGCTTTTAAGGTGCAAGTTTCTGTACGTTATCAGGGGCTCTCATCTGGTCTGCCCACAGATTTAACCAGAGCTCAAAATGAAACAACATTAAATGTCATATTCAGATAAGCGGAGGAAAAGGGATGGATGGACAAATGTCATATTTTCCAGTGATTCAGACTGAAATGCAATCCCACACCCTTCTAGGATCAGTCATTCATGGATCACGGTCTTCAGAAAGAACTAAAATCTATGTGATTACATCTGTGCATGTGAATTATTCTATGATGTGATAATAAAGTACTGACAGTTTGTGTGAGAAAGGCAAAATGGCTGAAATCACAGTGGTAATACAGGATTCAGGCAGCCTGTGGGGGCTCATTAGTAAAGGAAGTGAAGGCTAAACACAAAATACCGTACATCTGTTGTATTTAGAGAAGTGAAATAACCGGTAAACAAAAGGTATTAGTGCCATTTCTCACATCATGCTAGTCATGTTGAAGGATACCATTTATAAATTTGCCTAAACCAGCGATAACAAAATGCCCTAAATTCTCCTTCATTCACAGCCTCGAGCCTCTGATGGAAACAGTAACAAAGGAACAACTGGCCTGACTACAGTACTGACTGTCTATGGCTGAAAACTCTCTTGCAGCTAGGAACAAACGAACACCACCGAGACTCTCCAGCATTGAAATAACCTGCCTGTAATGAACCCAGCTCAGCTGGGAGCCTGTCGCAGAGAAATAAAGTGGCAATAAAACTGGGAGTTCAGGCAACGAGGGAGCAATGCAGACCTAACTATAAACACTCTCCTGTATGGTTTGTTTTTCCTATTAAAGACTGAAAGTCACCATCCCCATTTGCACTCAAATGAAGTGGAGCTTTAAGTAAACAATGGTCACACATCAGTGATGGTGCCCACCAACGCCCACCATCATCAGCAGAACTTCACACAGAGGAGGGTTTTATTATGCCAGAATCACCAAAAAAAACACAATGAAAATCCTCTGGGTGTTGTGTTTCTACTTGTGTTAGGTTTCCCTGTTCCCACTGGTACAGACAGCATCATGTCCTGAAACATAATCTCACCTGGGAGTCACCTCAAATAAAATCCTATTAAATAGGCACCATAACTCCATAAACCCGTTTGCTCAATGTACTGTACCAAACTGAATTGTAGCATGTACTCAAGCAAGTTTGAGTAAAACACAGAGTGCAGGCCATTACACCAGTGTATCTCCAAATATTCCAAACAGCCCTAAATGCTCACCAGTTTTTATCTGACAGATGAATTGCTGGGTTCTCTAACTAGCACAGACTAAGAGAAGGGTTCCCTCTCAGCAGCCTGACATGGCACACTGCTGCAGGACTGACAAGGCAGAGGACAGTGGATTAAAACTCAATAGGCCTGCCCTGATGGTAGTGATGAATGACTCTGTTATTAACACACGACTGTGTAGCACTCACTCTAAAAAAGCCACACAGTCAGAACTGAAACGCGTCAAGTTACCAGATGCATCTGTCAATTTCACATTCAGTTCTTCACAGCGGCACAAACACAACAGGCTAAACTGATCCCACCGCATTAGACTGACGTTTAACTGCAGCTAAATGCCCTCAGAGCTGCAATGAAACTTCCCTCAATACGTTGTGCTCGGACCTCTTACTGCTTGTTTTTCAGTTATTTACCTTTCGCCGCTCCGTTGTTAGTCTTTGCTTAAATCGTCGCGGTGCGGCACAATAACAGGTCCAAATCCGGGCTTCAGACGCGAACCGAAGTGGCCGTTAACTTGAAACGGAGGCTTCAGACAGGCCGGGGAAGTGGAAGCAGGGAACTAGTGCGGAGCTGAGACTAAGTGAGACGATCCCTCCTGTCAAGCACCGCCTCAGCTGCTCTGCGCCCTCCCCGCCCCGCCGCCGCCCGCTAGACCGAGCGCGGGCGCATCCATCCGCGAACGCGTAAAGTAACGCTGATTAAAATTACGGAACTGTAATATGTAGAAGTGTAATTATCGTTCTACCCTATTAAAGGAAATCAAAGTGGCCTAGTTCATTTCTCTGAGTAATGCTTTTAACAAACTAATACAGTCGAACTCTCACAGGGGCCATTAGTCTACGTTTAGTACTTTTACTTCTAACTTGCTCACAATATATTTACCCTGTGCCACTTCAGGTCCCCCATCACTGTGTACTGGCCTCGGGTAGTTGTGCAGTACATTTCAAATGAATAAAGCTGCTTGTACAGATGTGTTTGTGTCGTTTTCATACATTCTGAGGTGCATGATGGCCGACCTGGGGACTGCTGTAAGCCTTGAACCAAGCAGCCACATCACAGTGGGTGTAGACAAAAACAGAGCCACAGTATTTGGTAAAGCTGATTTCACATTCCATTGAGCACAATGGTGAGGGATTAGGATGTACAATGAGGTTGGGGCTGGCAAGAGGACGGACGCACAGTGAGTCAGGTCAGACTAGTCAGACCTTCCTCCCTCAGAGTTTTGAGGTTAAACTTTCCTCTTCATTCTTTTAACCTGGAACAGCACTTCTCTTCCACACATCTCCTCCTCCCTGCCCTGATTTCTTAAAAGCACCAACTTGAATGAAGCCTTTACATAATTCATTCAGCTGATGTGCCCTCAGGAAACTGAGCTCCCTCCAGATCTCTGAGGACATGGTGTGGTAAAATAAGGAACTGCATTTTTTTCCTAATTAAAACGCTAAATTTAAACTCTTTTTTTAATCCCAGTGAGGAAATGCGTTCTTTTGGGATGAAGCTGGAGATTTTATTACTTTGTCTGTACAACACAGTACATAACAACACAAAACAAATTAAAACATTAACCAGGAAAATAATAAAGGGCACAATCAAACCTTATATTTACTGCATTTGTGTGGCCGTGTATACCAGAAACTTCAGTCTTGTTTAACTTACTACAACAAGTGACCAACTGTGAAACAGTGTGGCTCTCAAAAGCCATCCTTCTACAATCTTTCAACCTTTGTACACCCCCCCAGGCTGTGGTTTTCAGTGACGCTTCAGTGAATTCAGTCGGCTAACTGTGAACAGTGAGAAGCTCTATGTCTATATTTCAATCATCAGATGACAGTGGGATCACCTAACAAGTGAGCCATTGTGATTTGTCAGATAATTCATTATACAGTACATATGTAAATCTTGAATGTTAAAATTCAGATTTAACACTTCAACTGGACCCAACATACAGATTATATTCATATACACAACTGGGGCAACAAAGAAAACACAAAATCATTTTTTCGTCTCGCAGTGAACTTCAAATGCACCGGAAAAAAAGGCAGATTTCCATACATCAAACTGTAACGTCTTCAAGCATGTTTGCGTAAAAGGCAACACAATAAATAAACATGGCACAAAAGATTTGGGCAATCTAAACTGAGAAGCACAATGTTGTGGAAAATATTCACAGGAACCTAAATACTAAAGCAAGCGTGACATTCCTGCAGACAGTAACACAGGCTGACTGAACAGAAATGGGATAAACAAAATCACAATCTAATTACAGTGAGAAGAATACAAGTATGACATTTATAATTCAATATAGTATTTGTATTTACAAGCATTTATACAACTGGGGACTCTAAATGGGGGTTCAAGCTCACCACTACATGGGAGAAAAAGAATCAGATCATATAATGCAGTAAATATAAACCTTGTAAACATCACATCTCACCTTAGATATCAGTCAGATTAGGTTTCTGTTTGCCAGGTTCATTATGTATTTGTCCTTACTTTAAGGCATAAGTTTCAAGCTTAGGAGTAAACCTCTAAGATTTTTAAGCCAGATTTATTCAGGTTTCACTCCACTGAGGGAAAACCTACTCATCACAGCAAACCCCCAAGCAAAACGTCCCCACTTGCCTCGGAGCCAGCTCTGCTAGCTGTACGGTTATAGGATCTCCTCCACGCCGTGAGCGAAGATCATGACCAGGCCGGGCTCCAGGATCATATCCTCCCCCATATGCTGATTCTCACAGGCCATCACCACCACCGCCTGCTTGCCAGGGATTCGCTTGGCAACATAGTTCTCATAATAGCGCCTGTTCATCTGCCGTGTCTCAAGAGTGGCCAGTCCCTGTGGCCAGTTCCGCTCGTGGGCGTTCTCGATCAGGTCGTTCACAATTGAGAGAGGACAGCCGCTGTCGATGAGCGAGCGTTTGATGACTGCCTGGAGCACAGCGTCAGGGGTGGAGATCATGCCACCCCAACGTGTCACTCTGGCAGGCTGCATGGAGTTCACCCACCTGAAGATAACGATAAAACCACAAAAAATTAGCAACATTAGCTCTGTGACAACACTGATCTTAGAATACTAAGCGGGGAACGATGAAGGCATTTCACTTACTCCAAGATCTCATTGTACTCAATGCTCTCCTCGAGGTTTTGCAGGTTAGGATTAGCGCTGCGGATTGCTCTCATGTAGGCTTTTAACAGCTGAATGTCCCGTTTCTGGAAATGAAAAGTGCCATCTTCAGTGGCTCATCTCACAAGATCCCATAGATATAAACAGCAATTTATAACTGAAAAGCTGCACAGTAACTTCACATGCTGGAAACAGTTACGGGCGTTTGGAGCTTTTGGGGCAATGTGTTTAACAAATACATGCATCTTGTATTTTGTAATGAAGAAACTCAGTGCAGGAGTGCATTCACTGATGTCCATGGCAAAGAGAAATAAGATAATCCAGGCTGGAGACTGATAAGACATTAACTGTGCATAGAGACAATCCACTGACAGAAGAGAGAGCGAGACAGTGCAGTTGGTATTCGTGTATCGATACTCTGGAAACTGAGTACTGAAAGTTTTTCAAATATTCAGAATTGATATGTATCGAAACTCAATATTTTTGACAAAATTATCAACTAGGTGTTATGGAAAGAGAAATACACTCTTGGTTCTTTTCTATATCTGTTTTAAAAACATTTCTAAACAGTGTTTTTCAGGATGTGGCCCATCAAGTATTTCATTACTGAGCAAGGAAACATTCTTACTTGCTCTCCCAACTGGTGTTTATGCTCTGCCACAGTTTTCTCCAGCTCTGAAATCTTTGTCTGTTGCTGCTGGACGACGCTCCGCAAGTGTTTGATGCAGTTGTGGTTGGGGAGCTCATCTTTGGGCATCTCAAGCCTGTAAAAGTAGGGGAGATAGAAATACAGGAGAGGAAACAGAGACAGACTTAATACCATACCATACTGAAATCAGGTATTTCTGCAAATCATATAATACTCTACAGCATGAATATTTGATGGTGGTTATTATTTCTATAGGTCGCTTTGATTTAGCAAGTGTTCTGATAAGCTAAATCTGTCACTTAGGACAGACCTTAGGCACTGGTCAAATGGCTGAAGATGAATTCTTAACCACTGCACCCAACAGTTACAATGTCATGTACATTATTCTGCCAAATGGCTCCCACTCACCCACATCCCTCCTCACAGTTGACAGGCCTTTTGGGGTTGTGCTCACAGTCTTTGAGGTGCGACTGCAGCTGGTCCAGCCGCAGCGTGGCTGTGCAGCCAAAGCTCGCATTGTCACAGCTGATCTGGAGTTTGGACAGCATGTTGCGCATTATGCGGGGCACCGGCCGGAGGTGAGCTAGTGTTACTACTGTACGGTCAACAGGACAAATCTGCTGCTGGGCAAACCACTGTGTTATACAGGCATTGCAGAAAGCATGCTCGCAGTGTGGCGCCTGAAAACCAAATGAAAACCAAAAATTCTAAACAATATGTAAAACTCGGATAAAATTAAGGGAGGGTGATTTGTCAGACAGACACTTGCCTGCACTGGTTCTTCTAGCACTCCACTACATATTGGGCACAGCAGGTCTTCATCCACTTCCCCTTGGAACCTGGTAACGTCGTACCCCATGGTACATTCCTGGGACCTACAACCTCCTGCAGAATCACATAGCCAAGCAAATTAGGTCTTCATATAATTTAAATACAAAAGATAGATACTTCATCTATCTAAAGAATATTTTAAGCCTACCTCACTCACAAGATGGCTCAGATGCTTCCATTCAGCTCTTGATGTAGCGCTGACACATCTGGCAGAGAGAATCTGGCTGTCCAGAGATACATGAACACTCCCTGTAAAACATGATGACAATATTCATGCTGATTATTTCATTTTCAAGACTACTGGTTGAATGATCGAGCTGATTTATGCTGAATAACCACAGCATAAAACAACATATATGCAGCTTGTATTCAAACATATTTAAATGACCCAGAGATCAGTTATTTTCAAGCTTCCTCATAAAAATCAGCCAAATCATAACCTTTACTGGGGTAAGTTTTTAAAAAGTCTTACGGCATGACTTATAAAAACTGTAAAAGAAACAAATGACTAAAGCATTTGGAGAACACAGCTGTATTTATACACACCCGAAAGCCTAAAAGCCATGTCCTTGATCCATAACGAGGCGTGATTTTCTAACGGTACCCTCGACATGTGAAACTGCAGCAGCATAGTTTCCACATTTGGGGGGACAATTTTATTGTCCCAGCTGGTTGGTGGCTGACCTAATTTTGGTGAAAGCAGCACCCACCGGTGTAAATCCTTAAATCCTTCGTTTTCTTTCTCGCATCCCACTCAGCATACTTTGCAAGCGAGCTAACCCTCTATGCTAACGTTAGCTACTAACGCGATCTTAATTCGCTGTTAATATTGTACTACATCGCAATACGTTTGGGCACAAGCTACATTAGTATAATCTTTAATAAATAACCCAATGCTCGAGTCCAGGTATCAGTATATTTTGATCGTCTCATGAATTAGCTAAACGTGGTTAAGGCTGGCTAACTAGCTAGCTCTGTTAGCGTCACGGTACCGTTGGTTTCATCTGGATATTAGCTATCGAGCTAACCTGACAGCCTTCATTGTGGACAATCTACAGCGACAAATGGCTATTCAGAGTCAGTCACATTATAAATAATTATCATAACTGTTTGATATACTTACTTAAGCATGTAGTAAAATGGTTGTAATCACGATGTTTATGTGCTTTCAAACGTCCTACTGTACCTACTAGCTTGCTAGCTACGTTCTGTGCTACATCTTGGACTTCTGCGTCACTGATACGCACAAACGTGTGTACGTCATGACGCTTTTGGTGGATTTTGATTGGTCTGTTTTATCTATCTATCTATCTATCTATCTATCCATCCATCCATCAGTGGTGGAAAGTAACTAAACACATTTTATCAGGCATTGTACTTAAGTACAATTGCTTTAATCATAATCATAATCATAATCACCTTTATTTGGCCAAGTATGTTACACACACTAGGAATTTTTCTGGTACAGAACCGAGGGTAATAAAATGTGGAATTGATTTATATTTTGGTTTCAATTTGTAAAAGGGTGCATTTTCTTCATTCTTTTAATCATTTTCAGCACATCAGCTGTGGCCTGCCACAACAGTGTGAAGCATTTTCCTCAGCCATGCAGCGATGCATTGCTTTCTTTGTGACAGAAGGTGAACAGGAATCAAATTAACCGATTCCAGCATGCAGAGAGAAAGTGTAGATTACTGTATGCAGACTGTGTGAGAATACAGTTGAACAGAAGGAAGAATACATGGAAAACATGGCAGTACTAGTGTGACTGCACGTTTCCAAACCAACAAAAACCAGTGTAATCACAGTGCATGACTCTAAACCAGTGGTGGAAGGTAACCATGTATGATGATTTGAGTACTGTACTTTTGTACACTTTTGAAGTACTTGTACTTTACATAATTATTTCTGATTTATGCTAAATTCATACTTATGTCTGAAACATTGTGAGGTACACCATCAACACAGGTAAATCCAATCAAGGTCTTGTCTTTGCTTCATTAACTATATCCACTATATGACGCTTCATTCAGCTCCTGGGCTATCCCAGTGAATTCAACAAAATCAAGATACAAACAATGGCATTTGTGTGTGAAAAGAAAAAAAAAACTCCAGATGCAGGACTTATTTAGCAATAGCACTTTATTGAACACAAACAACCCTAAGCCACAATACTGAATGACAAGACCAATTGGCTGCAGCAAACATTTTATAAAATAGATTCAGGTTCAATGTCACTAAATTGTTTTTTCCTTTTAATGTCAGAAAGACAGATGCAGGTTTTTCCAAAACAGTGAATGATCTTTTACATATTTAACATTTCTGTAACAAATTATCATTCACATGTTCACACAAAGGAATAACAAGGCAAAGTGCTTTCAGGATTGCATTGTCGAAAAAACAAAAGAGAAAAATGAATGGCTTGAGGTTTAGGTGATGGGGAATAGGGCCGCTCCTGTCCTAGACTAAACACGAGTGTGGTGAAGGGGATGTTTTCGGAGGGGGCCTGATCAGAAAACCTCAAACCTTTCACCTTGTCCTGTACCTCTTGTAGTCAAAGCTGAACGGACAATGTCAGGGCAGTGTGGAGACGCCTATGGAGCAGGATTTGGTTCAGAGTGGACAGATGGATTCGAAGGCATACAGCTTGAGGGGCTCAAATTCACCCTCGTACAGAAATTACAAATCCACCTTAGTATCTTTCCTGTAACAGCCTGTGGTATTATTACAAGTGCAGGGCAATCACTGGCCGACACAGAATGAGTCTGTAAACGATGAAATATTGTACACTACAGGGCTAGACAGGGATGTATACGCACACGAGGAACTGCAAAATAAAGAGATGTTAAAAAAAAAGCCAATGCAAAGTTACTGTGTTTATTTTCTAAAAGATGATTCTTCTGACCAGTCTCCACAGAATGTTAAAGGGGATAGACTATCATCATAATCTGCATCTTTACAATGTCTGGCTTCACATTCCAGTGGTATTTTGTCGTATAAATGCTTCTCATAAATATTTTTTCGTTGTCAAATAGACATATGCACATACAGCACAACCAAACACACTTTCAAAATGTACAACTACCATTGCTTATTATAAATCTGTATTCCTGTACTGCGATACCTTTTTTTCCATTCCGAACAGGTGAAAAGACAAACAATACTCAAGGTCGCAAAACAAGGAGGTAGGAGAAATGCTACTGAAAAAACACAGCACGTGATGCTAACATGATCATTTACTTAAAGAATCGGGAGATGCACCAGGCTTTGGCTCAACCTCTTGAACCATACTGGTGATGAAGCTGCTATTCCAGCCAGCATCTCAGGAGTGGCATGTAACAACTGTGAAGTTTAAGAGTTTCACCTTTGTATTATAAAACAATGTGCAATATTGAGTTGACCACCAAATTCAGATATCACCAGCTTTCCCCAAAGCTCCTGGTGCTGACTGGGGTAGCAGTTGTGGTAATGTAATAACAGAAGAAATCTCAAAAGTCAGCACGGCCATACAAAACTTTAAATCGTGTCTTACTCCTATACTCCCAGACTGGTCATTTTTTAAATTGGCTAATTTCAGAGTAACGTCATTGGTCCTGTTGTCATCACAGGTCTAGAGACCATGCTGCTGGTGAAGGCATTGACTCCTTTACACACAGTAGAGTAGTATATTTGCAGATTTGTAAATGAGGTAATCAGCGTTAGGCTAAATAGGGAACCCTGTCATTGACACACATGCCCACTTCATTCACCAGCAAAGTGAAACATTTTCCCTCAATCAGTGGGACCGGACTGTGGAAAACGAAATCAACTTTGGAATGTTGGATTAGCAAACCAACGTTTTTTTTTTTTTTTTTTAAGGTTTTATTTACTTTTTTTTTAGTGAAGGTGCACTGTGAAACTATTTGATTGTAACTCATCACATGCCCTGATTCAGTCCTACCCATGACAAGAGCTCTGTTGTATTTCCCATAGTAAGCCACTCACAGTAAAACAATCGACCCATTACCTATCATCACTTAGATTTGCAATGAATTAAGGCTGCCTCAGCAGCAGATTGATGTCTGCTTTAAGTCCAGTTGTGAGAGGATTGTTAACTTGTGAGCTGCAATGAGGTGGCAACATATACACTTAAGCAGACCAAGCATAAAAAGCAAAAAGGGAATACCATTTCTAATGACACAAAACATGCAATACACACCCTTTCCTACAGTAGGGTAACTCCTAATAGCACATTCAAGGGGGCTCCAATGGGGCTAGTTCTCTGATATGGCTCTGCTTTAGAATAATAAAGCCTCGTGGGAGACAACTTCCTTAGCAGGCACGTCTATAAGATGCTCCATCAGAAGACTGCTGCCTGTTTTCTTGAACATTTGTTTTCCTTTGTGTAAATACGTCACCCCTCACCCCCCAAGACACATCCTCTGCTGGTGAAAACAAACGGCACTTTCAAGGGGAATGTTTCTCTAAAACCACAATCACAGGACCTCCAAGTAACAAATTCTGAAAACACATAGGCTATACAGTAGATATAAATCTCTGGAGTTTAACTGTACAAGCTTTAGGCTACACGCTGAGAAGGGGAGGGACACATAACAACCCTTTAATGCTTAACATTGAAAACAAATAAGGCATTTCATATTTCCTTTTAACCGCATACATCACTGACAGCAGGTCTAAATATTTTTGAGAAAACATTTCATTCAAGGAAGAAGAGGATGCATATACACATCTACACATGCAAATGAACGTGTCTACCGGCTAGAAACCAGAAGGCCAAACTACAATACCATCAAAGTCCATCCATAAAAAGAAGAAAAACAGCACCTACTCAAATTGATCGGTCAAACTTGTGCACGGTTCTTTTCTCTGAGCAGGCAGCGTTTAAAGTTGGATTTTGATCACAGTTTTAAGAATGAAATACCACACAGTCCACTATCAAATGCCACCTCTCTGAAAACAAAGAGGACAACTTGAAATTCTTCATTTGCTACAGACATGTGACTTTTGGTGTTAACAAAAAGGGCATATTAAATAATATCTTATTCAACTGAGGAAGCAAAGATAAACAAAAGGTTATTGCACTTGTATACTTTGTCTATTTCAACCGAGGTCAGCTTTAGAGAAGATTCATGCCTTAATGTTGTAGTAAGACAACAAATGTTACATCACTTCTATAGTATGATCACACTGTTATTAACACTGCACACAGCTACTACTGCGATCCTACTTTTACTCAGTTCACTCTAGGCAACACAAAACAATCTTCACAATTAATTTGCAACACAGTCACAACAAACAGTCTGTCTAAACTTGATCTCGAACACAGGTACAGCATCGTTCCACGACTTGGTTTGTATTGTGAAGTTACTAATCGTCCAACACCAGAGAGTTGAGAACAAGAATCAGTCCTTTCTACAGTTAGTGTGTTACTGACAATCAAACTATGTTTTCTGTGCTCGGAGGAGGACTCGGATGGTTTTCCTCATATCTTTGCCTAAATTTGGTTTCTAGGCTCCTTCACTCCTTAGTGCTGGGAGCCCACTAAGCCCCGAGGTGCCTTCTTTGGATTTGTGCTTTCGTACTGTTGTTCCCCATGCATTCAATATTTGATGTGCCCAAAATCGCATCAGTCATGTGCAATTTACTCTGCCGCCCAAAGGGAGTGCTCAGCCACTGGTAATGCATCATGAAATCCAGAATAGTACAAGAGTTATTTAGGCTTTTTTTTTTTAATAACCCAGATCACATAGGGTTGAACTAATCGTGCTCAGAGGTGAGAGAGAGCCTATCCGCTGTAGTTGTATATGTTCAGTGTAATTTCTTTTTCCCATTATAAGGCTTCTGGGAAATACAAATGGAAGACCGTACTTTTCGGTAGTACAAATAAAAGGCACCATGCCACCACTGTGCTCCATATTACACAGGTCCTCTTGGTGGGGGGAGGGATAAAAAAACCAAGTGTTCAGGCAGGGAAGGCGGTCAAACTAGCATTAGTCATACAATAAAATGGTACTGTTTTGACTTACAGAGGTAAAGGTTAATAGCTACCTTCATGTCACACACACTTAAATTAGACTGTACCCTTCACCCCATTCGACTTGCACCAGATAACAGACTGATCTGTTGATTGTAATGAAGGGAAACATGATCTACAATGTAACTATGCGTTTGTGGACAAAAACAAAAGGACCTTGTGCATGTTTCGATTTTGACATGCATATTTTGAAAAGTCACACACACTGTAGAGAGAGAGCGAACTACAAGACTGGCGCCGGGAAAACAAGGGGAACAAAATCACAGAGGATCAATGTAAGCCCTGTCACGCAAAGAATCACCGATGAGGTAAAAATGCAGGTCCAATAAAAAGTACAAGGTGCAGCTGGCTGCTCCTTTGTAAGGTGGAAAACAAGACATCTGCCAACACTAATCTAACACTTCCACATAGATGCATCTCTGATTTAGGCTGGTTTAAGCAGAATTACACTACCCACAACAAAATGGATCACAAGTTGTTTTTTTTTTCTTTTTGTTTTTTACTCTTTGTTAGCATAGCTGTACAAGCATTTTGTGTAAGAATTTCCATTCCATCTGAATATTTTTGAGGTACACTACCTTCATCCCCAGTGTCATTTGGCCCTAGATAACAGAGAAGCCAAAGTTGATTGTTTAAAAGTGAATTCTGAATCATTTCATTCACAGTGGCAAATATGGCAATATCCTAACAATCTCTCCACCATGGCAACCTTGAGCTATGTGCTACCTCAACTGATTTGTGTGCTTCTCGACACCCATGCGTCTGCAACATCACAACCACACAGCGTAACTCTACAGGTGATGGAACCCATCAGGTACTGCCAGGCGTCGTTTCCATTTTTCAGCTTTTAAGGCAAAAGGCTCAACAGTGGATCAGAGCTGAATTGAAATTTGCCATTTACTTCAAGTAGGAATTGAGACATCCATTGAGGCAAATCAATTCTATACTGTATATACCATGCTGCTTGTTTTTTTTTTGTTTTTTTTTGGACATCAAAATCTTTTTTTTTCCTGTTAACACATGTATTATAAACCATTCTGTTTAAGAAACACACAACCTAGGGACTGCTTTGCCAATACCAAAGGTACCAACTATACTCTCCAAAAATGTCCAATTATAAAAGACTTCTACCAACACCAAATTTAACAGAACACTTGCATTTAAATACTAATATCCCATGCAAATATTTAGTTTTTCTTTGACTATTATCATTGGCAAAAAGACGTGCAGCTCCAAACAGAAAACTGTAATAATCCTGCCTACTTCTGAATATGTTACTGACCAAGTAAATATGATTTATATCTAAAGGCAAATAAAGGTTTCTATGGCACTAAATGGGTGTAGCTTAGGTGCATTTTTGTCAAATATAGGCTATTTATGAGTATGTGTGATCATATCTACTGTAGACCTTTTCATCCCTCTTGTTTTACTGTACGGTAAGGCATTCTCAACGGAGTTCATCTGATCTCGTCCTCTGTTTACCTTGTAGGCTACACTCTGCACAAATATGCATGTCTAGAGAAGAGTGATATTACACAACAGCAGGCCTATACTCCAACAATAATGCCAAAAGAAAAGCGACCTATCCAGACCCTTAATGCAGGAAGACTACTACACATACTGTATAATATGCAGAGAATAAGGTTATTACATGCTACCTGTATAATCATATTTACTCTTGACAAATGAAGAGCAACAGTTTAAAGTCAGGAGAAAGCAACTTGTCCTGGTCTAAACTGACTCGACATTCATTTCAGTGAGAAAATTCATGGCTCAGATTTGATGGTCAGACTGTAAACATATGCATAAATCCATTGCTGCTTTACTAAGAGGTTTTCCCCTCTTGACACATTTTGGCAAACAGGCCTTATTTGTGACCAAAGATTATAACATTTAACCTGCATTTTAATCTTCCATTGGCATTTATGCTATGATTTACTGAATTGGCCTAAATGGATGGCAGTGCAATACTTGTGCTGCACACTATTACACACACTCACTATTGCTACAGTTGGACCTTTCATTGCTTTCTGACTCCAGATATACTGTATATGCTCCATTTGTTTGTTAACTATATCAAAATTGTGATGTAGCTCCATGTACAATCACTGATACAAATTAAAAACAACAGCAACAAAAAAAAGAAAACAAAGCATGTATAAGAATACTGTTGTACAACAAAAGGATTCAGTTACAACTTGAATAGTTGCATGGGGCTCCATTTACTGGTCAGATAAAGACATCATAAGAGAGAAGGATCCCTGCCTGAATAGACTGGTCTGACAGCACCTGCAGATGGCAGAGAGAGTATACAGAGCGTCTGAGGAGCCTGCCTGAGGTGTCTGCTGAATCACTGGGCTGACTTTAAGCGACTTGGGCCAGAGTCTGTAGTATTAACAACAGGCTGGGTACTGTAACCTTGTCACATTGTTGGGCTGGTTGCCCAGAAACAGTAACACACACACAAAAAGAAAAAAAAAAAGTCAGTGGGCAGTGGACACTGTCCCGAAGTGCTTAGAGACACTTTTTTAAAATAATGCATTGTTAAGAGTACAATTTTGTTGCAGCCTTTGCTTATGTTTTGCAACCCTACCTTCCTGTATTAGGCAGCAACACACATGCATGTAAACATAAGAACATACATTACATCTGCTCTATTTTACACACTTAGAACCTGAATGTACTAAAGTGCGTGCTTGTCTATCTAATTAAGTGCTGTGGGAGTAGGGTTAAAAAGGAATTCAATTATGGAACATCTCATCAAAAAATGTAGACATAATCATCCTGCTGAGATCTGATTAAATTGTCTGCTGCTTCAGTACAGATCCTGAGATTACAAAAAATTATGTACCTATCCCTAATATCAATAACAATAATTGTTAGTAGTACAGCTGTCCTGAAAATTATCAGTTGATCAAAAGAACAGAGGCTGGGGTCACCAATTAGCTCCATTTCATTTCAGCCACTTATTGAGGTCAAGTGAAATGCCAAGTATGAATCTATGACGCTGAGAAATCGCTGCTTTGAAATGGACTTAATGTCAGTTTTAGCAAGTCGAGTAAAAAACAGGGAAGTGACAGACTTTTTGTTGCAGGGGTACTGAAAGCAAAGCCTAGTCTAGGTCCTCATCTCTCATCCAGTCAACTAATGTGTGCAATTGTGCCACTTCATTACCAGTGAAGTTCTCACACCAATGAAAACAATCTGACTCAGTGTAATCTAACCACCAGCAGATGGTTTGAACAAACAAAATGACAAAATAGCATAGATATAACATCTAAAAGTCACAAACAGCTCTAGTGGTCCAATACAATCATCTTTAGTATGCTTAGTACCAGAAATGGGATGAGGAGACAACAAAATATACAAAAAAAAAAAACCCAAACAAACAAACAAAAAAAGCACATATTTGGATATCTGCTATTCCTGAAGTCTAAACAGTGGGTATTGGCCTAAGCAAAGATCCCTCTCCTGTTCCTCTCAGCCCTATTTGCTTCTCTAAGGGTTATCAACTCCATGGCCACTGATGAAGCCGGGACACAAAGATATGTCAGGCAATGTTTTTCCACTCGGTACTATGGTGCAATTGTGGTTCCATGTTGTTGCTATCATATAGATGGAATGATAACTCAGTCTCAGGGCTAGTCATACTCTGCCATTACACAATCCAACTGAAACGGTGTGTTACGGAAGGCATGGGTCAAAAGGCATTTCATGAGATGCCATAAAGGCAATCCAGTGCATTTGTCTTGACACTGACAGTAAAATGCCCGGCACAAACAGAGCCATTCGTTTAGTCTTTAGGTTATTTTTCATGAGATAATAAAAACTAAAAAATAGAGAAATCAAAAAACACATTCCAGGGAAACAAAAAGCCCTTGTGACAGTGATTGTCTATTCAATAACATTAAATGAAAAGGCCAAAAGAAAATATTGCTTGAAAACTGCCCAATAAAAAAAACAGCAGACAATACTCTTACCTTTCAGCTATAACTGATCAGAGCTGACCACTGAGAAGTTGAGATATAAGCTATTAGATGTTTAAGACTAGTTCTCCAGCTCCAAGAAATACTACTTTTAGTGCGAGCTTGTGAAAAACCACAATGCTGATGGCCGGGTCAACTTCAGAAACAATAAAAACGAATATGTCTTTAATGCCTAAACAACAAAAGCGGCCTGCTAATTCCTTTCCAAAAAAAAAAACCCCAAAACAAAACAAACACTGTAAAAGGGATGGGAAATAAATTGAAATGGCTTGTTCATTTATGTGCTCAGATATATGATGCTTCGATGAGGTGTTGTTGGCAGATATTACTAGTAAAGCCTTCATCTAGAAATAAACAAGGCCTCAGTCAGTCACTATCCTACAGTAGTTCTCTAGTCCTACAAAAAGAGAACGTTAGGCCTATGGACCCTGGGTGAAGATGAAGCAGCTGCTAAACGAGTTGACGAGGTATATCAAGATCTATTGTCTTTCTCTATACAGTACAGTTCATCTCAAATAAATAATTTATAGCCATAGTAGTGTTGATCAACTTTGGTCATAACTTATATGCTTAGAAACATTCTAGCTTAACAAACACTTATTTAGCATCTTTTAAAAATGAGGCCAGCGTTAAGAACAGACCGATGTTACAACGCCGACCCCGCACATAGCCCTCCTTTGGAAGGAGGCATGCCAACGCTTTCAGCAGCACTACCAGATTCTCTTAAAATGCCAAACAACTCTAGGCTGTACAATTAAAGTACACTATGGAATTAACATCTTTGTGACCCTTGTCCAAATTTCGGATTGTACTGTAGTACACAAGCATTGCACTCTTAAGCAAACGTCAGATTTTCCCTTGTGTGGTTCCTTCATAAAAATTTAGGCTAATGGATAATTAAAAACAAAAACAAGAAAGAAAATAACAATAATAAAAAAAAATAACTGATTATTCTTTTGGGAAGGCTGTATGTTCCTCTACAAGGTCACCACAACTGATTACCAATGATATGACGTTTCTATTGGACAATATGAGTAGAAACACTAGGATACAGAGATTTTCATGCTCTTAGATGTTGGTTATATAATTATGTCAACATGGTTTTAAAGGGTTAAATGATTTCGAGATGGCCAGATTGCTAGCGTTTGTTTTGAATGCCACACTTCATCTGAGTGACCTTGTAGAGCAATCCACCTCTACATGTTAAGCACTACTAGGAGATGGAGGAATGGGATCTAATTGCATATTAGGTTTGACTGCACCTCAAGAGAAGACCAAACACTCACGCATACACAGACGCACACAAACATACATACACAGAGAACAGACATGTGGGTGGGTGCTCTCCTGGTCCTCTGGGCCATGTTAAAGGGAGCCGTCCCTTGGTGATAATGATGGTGATTAGCAGCTGACTGAGCAGGGCGCGGGACCTCACTCAGACAGACACCCGTCCAGGCCAACCGGTGCACCATGACGATCTTTGACGTAGCCGTTGTGGAGGCCATTGCTGGGCAGGGGGGCGCAGGCAGCCGTGATGCCGCAGTGCTTCAGCAAGTTGAGACCCGGGGAGGGGGAGACAGTGGGAGAGGAGCAGGAGCAGGAGGAAGGGTCCCGCTGGGGAAAAGGCTTCATGGTAGAGAGGATCAGAGCCAGGCAGTCGGCCACGTCCTTGTTGGGAGCACAGGCCAAAGCTGGGGTGTGGCCTGTTGCACAACACGTACACGTTAGCAACTAGCTGGTGAACATGTAGGAGCATTTCTCAGCTGAAGAGTCAAGAGTCAGATTTTTCTCTCAGAGATGACAGAAACCAAAAACAGAGCAAGCAGAAAGAAAACCCAGACATTGTGAATAAGGTCATGTCATTTAGTTTCATAGAGCAGACAAATGGCTTTTTCAGCTGCCGACTCCAATGAGTTTAGACGTGCATGAACTCACAGAAGACTCTTTAAAATCTGTGCTTTCATCTTATTTCAACACAGTGTTAACATACACAAGTCTGACTACTGAATAGACCGTCCATACCAAGCAAGACAGGAAAGTACTATCAAAAATGTAAATATGGTGCGTGGAAGAAAATTTGTATCTTATAGTAAATAAACTAAAAACGCACGAGGCGCTTTCATTATAGATTATTCTTATGGATGATCTAACTCACTTTCAGCTCATCCATTCTGATTATAGATACAGTGCTAACAGAGTTTAGGAGCTCCTCACCTTCCTCATCCACAGCCAGCACAGTGGCTCCTCTACTCAGCAGTGCCTGCACCACTGTAGCCAGGCCATTACGTGCTGCAAGATGGAGGGGCCTGCAGGAGCGTGAGGGACAGACAGAGACAGCATTGAAGAGAGTCATCCTGCATTACTGAAATTACTACAAAAAAAATAAAAAATTTAAAAACACAATAATGGGACAAACATTTCAAATCCTTATAAATATAAAAGTGCTTTTGTTAAAATGCAGGCACACAAATCTTTACATTATAAAACAACAACAAAACTTTTCTTTGTTTCCTCATTTGTTAACCTAAAATTCTAAAAAGGCTCCCACATTTGCAGAGCACTGTTGGTGGCGTTGACGAGTGTGGGACTATGGATCTCTCCCACAATCAGCAGGGCACACATCTCATGAGCCTAAGGAATGAAACAGAAAACAATCAGGAAGAAAGTCCTTCTGTCTGTTGGAATCGTCTCGTGTTCACAGAAGGTATATCACATTACACACAGTTTACCATAAAATATGGTTTAGATAAGAGACACTGTACTTGCTGAAGTACTCCAGTTCCTTCTAATGAACATGCTTAGCACAGCACAGCAGAGTTTTGACCTTAGGGTCTTGTGATTTTCTTGTGATGTGTACCTTGCTGCAGGCCAGGTGTAGGGCAGTGTTCCTGTTCTCATCCAGCAGTGTCAGGTCAGCCTTGGCCCGGTGAAGGAGGATGGCTGGCAAACATTAAGACACAAAGACATTTATTTCCTGTGACTACGGATGTCCCAGTCTGACAGCTATTGTCAGGAGATGCATAACAGGCCTACTCAAGCCCAGAGTGTGAAGAAAAAAACAAACATCTTCAAAACATTTGAAACAAGCCAAAGATGTAAGACTTACCCACGGTGCCACTGTGCCCCTTATCAGCAGCTACCATTAGAGCAGAGCGTCCATTTTTGTCCACTGCATTGATCTCTGCCCCATGGCGAAGCACCAGCTGAAGTCCTGCGACATCCTCTGCAAATGCAGCAGCGTGCAATGGGGTCCTACAGGCACATGCACACACGCAGTCCAACCAATTACTGTATGACCACAGCATTCAGAGCCTGCGTAAGGCTTTAAGTGAAAAGCTTCAAGGCTGATCATTTGAGACAAAAAGAACACATGCAGGTAACAATACAAACTCTACAGTGATGAAAAACACATCTCGTCTATGCCTCCAGATGTCTTTAGGGACTTCATGTTAAATGCTTTCTTTCTGAATCACAGCTATTCCAAAATAACATAGCCAAGTCTGTTGTTTGCAGCCTCACCTTCCTTTGGCATCTCTGGTGTTAATCATGTGGACCCCAGCAGACTCCAGCAGCCTCTCTGCAGCACCGCTGTGACCATTCATCCTGCAAGTTCATGATTTAAAGTTACCTAATGGGTGTTTTCTTTGAGTCAAAGCAACTTGTTCTGACACACAAGACGAGCACTTAGGTCAAGTTCATACTCACAGAGCACAGTGCAGGGGGGTGAAAGGGTTTCCCTCTTCATGGAAAAATGTTTTAAATTCAAGTAAAACCTCCAAACAGTCTTCATGCCCTGAGAACAAACACACTTAGCACTTTATACACACAGATGTTAAAGTAATTCATCGTGACACTTAGGTTTGTGGATTAGCCGTTTCCAGTCGATTGAACTCAGCAAACCTTTGTAAGCAGCCCAGTGTAATGGGGTATATTGTTTGTTGTCCAGCAGTTTATCTTGTGGGTCTGTTGCCATGGCGGCCTGCATCAGACTGGCCAGGATCTCTGTGTGGCCTCTGGATGCAGCATAGTGCAGCGGTGTCCTACCCTGGGCGTCCCGACACAGTGCAGAAGCTTTGTGCTCCAGCAGGGCTGTCACACAGTCATCATGGCCCAACGCCGCCTGAGTAAAGACCAGGCGAGATGAGACAGACTCCACTGAGCTTAACTACTTATTTTAAACAGAGAAGAAATGTTCCTTCGCATTTCTCTGTTATGTACTCCACTACCTGGACACAGCAGTATTAATTAAATCTAGGCTACTTTCCTAGACAGGGGCCGAGACATTTACTAAATTATATATTAATTGAAAAATGTCAATAATTGAACATTGTTTTAATCTACGACTTAAATGAGAGTCCTAGCATGTCTTGGTAACTGTTTCTCTGATTCCTAAGGCCTCTTAACAGATGGTGCCAACCATTCTGACTAAACTACTACATTTAAAAAGGAAAATCAAGGTGAAACATACATATGACGCTCTAAAGCACACCTTTACAGGTGTAAGCATAAAGGTGCGTACCACAGTAGCTATTATTACCTGGATGGAGACAGGAGCGACTTAAATACCTGTGTAGAGCCACGAATGCTCAAAATATTTGCCATTTACATTGACCATTATCGTGATCAGATAATTCTGATACATAATATAATCAATCATTTACACATTTTAAAATAACTTGGTGTACAGGGTATTATTTTTAACTCTGAAAACATTCTAATTTTATTGGTGCACTGCTGAGTCCCTGTCTAAGTAGCCAGCAATGTGTCTGCACCCTGTGCACCCTCTTATGCACACGCATATTACTGCCTTGATCCAGCACCTTTAAAATGGCGAACTGTTGACTTAGACCAGCGTTCTGACATGGGACTGTACGCCTGGCACTGGGTGAAAGATAGGGGCCTTAGGTCGTCTACTGTAAATGTCATTTGTGTTGACATTTACTGTACTGCTACTGTAGCCACGTCCAGTGAGCGACTTACCCCTCTGTGCAAAGCTGTACTCCCCCTCTTGTCCTTGGCAAATGGGACAGCACCCTTCTCCAACAGGAAGTGGACGCAGTCAGTGTGACCTCCCAGAACAGCGAGCATCAGAGGGGTCCTGAAAGGAAAACAAGGAACAATAAAGACGTGTTCTTCCAATGTACTTTCACTAGTCAAATTCACATTTGGCACCGAGATGTTTTTCAAAGCCTTTCAGAGAAACCGACTCACTGGCCGTATTTGTCTGCCACATTGGTGAGATCCCCCTCTTCTCCATAATCAATCATCAGGCGCAGGCAATCTGAGTGACCATTAGCAGCTGGCATGAAACAAGGTACAGAATTTAAAGATGTATGTATAGTCTCTTAAACAGAAAACTAACCATCAGAGACAATGCTATAAAGTGAAAACAACTGTTACCCGCAACATGAATTGGAGTCCACATGAGGTGGTTGTCATTGAGGAGGCAGGAGGCCCCCTGAGCCAACAGCACCTCCACACAGCGGGCAAAGCCTTTCTGGGCAGCCAAGTAGAGCACAGAACGGCCTGCAGCGTCTTGCATGTCCACATAAGCTGCAGTCTCTGTCAGCACACGCAGCGCCTGCCAGTGGCCCTTATCAGCCTGAGGGAACAGAGGGGGTCAGCCACAGCTCTACATTTAGGCAAGATGAATAGGCCAGTATCCAAGAGATGATTGTGAAACTTACAGCGAGATGCAGTGGACTGACTGGAATGCTGCTTTCTATGTCTCCTAGTGCATTAAAGGACATCTCCAAGAGCTAAAGAAATAAGTTACAACAGTGGGATTTAATTGGATGTACAGAGGAGGGCAGGAGGGCTTTCAGTAACATTGTATGCATCTCTTTTCACCACATCAACAAGTACACAATCCAAAATGTCACACTATTATGTGATTGCTTGGTCTAGAAAACATCAGTAAACAGTGAAAAATGTCAAGCACAATGTCTTAAAACCTAGGGTTATGTCATCGGGCACATGGTTTTATGCAACCTACAGACCAAAACTCCCAAGATTCAATGCACTACAATGTAAAATACAGAACAGCAGCAAATTCTCACATTTGAGAACCTGGAAACAGAATTACTGCTACTTTTGCTTGAAAAATAACTAACAATTAATCTTATTATCAAAATAGCTGCCATTTAATATTGTCTTGAAAGACTACTGGAGTAGTCCACTAATTGTTGCAGCTCTAATGTATGTGCTAAATTGTGTTAAACATTGAATTAAAATTAAACAGAAGAACACACCAGCTCCAGGTTCTGTTTGTTGCCATGGTATGCTGCATAGTGAACAGCACTGTAACCCCTTGAGTTGACCATCGATGGATCAGCACCACTGTCCAGAAGATGCTCCAAGCAGCTGTTATTAAAAAGAGTGTAAAGAGGGGATAGAGAGTAACAGTATTTAATCCAAGGGCCTTTAGGTACAAATGATGTTCACAAACTTATTCAGTTTGAATCTTAACTCTTAATCCTATTGTCAGATGCAGGACAGGGAGGACGACAATAAATAAACTCACAAGTACGACTCCTTCGCCTCATCTTCATCATTCTGATGGTTCCCAGGAAAATGGCGATCAGCTCTGGAAAGAACAAGGAACAATAACTTTTCTTGAGGTCAGTTTAACACACGCATCACTGCTCACTCCGGAGGGTGTCATCTAGATAGTTTCACTGCTGTCTAAGGTTTTGTCATCCTGAGCAGCAAATGTGATCTGAGCATCGACACAAATATTCAAATGAAGCCATAAAACCACTGGCTCTAAGTAAATCAGAGAAAACACAGACTACGTTCACATCACAGGCCTTAAAGCTCAACTCCGATGCTCATTTTCAGGTTTTGACATGCATCTGACTGTGTGTGAAAACCACTGAGGTCCTGAACTGCCACGCACGTGCAGACTTAACTCAGTGTTTCTCATACATTGACATATTTGTTGCGGACCGCCACAATATCAGCAGTGACCAATCTTATTTCAATGAAGTGCCGCACATAGCGCATGTATCCGCTCAGTCCCAATGTGCCCTGCTTTCTCGTTCTCACACACACACGTGACAAACTGTCTGTGAACAGCTCCTCCCCCTGCGTTTGTTTTCGTAACACAACACAGTCAATCGTAGAGATGAAACTCTTAGCAAGCTAGTTAGGCCAGCTAAGCTAACATTAGAATACAGCTGTTGCTGATGGATGTATATGGATGTATATGGACCGCTCTGCAAGTGGATAAACTTAATGCTAGTTCATAAACGCTGACGCTGAATGTTTGTCCCCTCAGCCCAAGGGAATTTCAAAAAACACAAGTGGGAAAGCTGATCAGTCCAATCAGTGGGATTAGCGATCCTACTGATTCATGTCAAATATTTATTGGCTTCAACCATTTTAATACCGAGTCTAAATGGGGCCACAGATGTGGCCCGGATCTGATTTGAAAAAAATCTTATCTCATCCTGTTTGTGAATCTCACAGCCAATGTGTCAGCTTTTAAACAGTGTTCTGAAACAACAGCTGACTTTCTGCCAGATTTGAACAGAATCTGGTGGCTTGTTTTGCTTCTCCTGATTGAGAGCGAACACAGAAAAAGACCAATAAATTTTCAAACCTGCTAAAAGCTTGGGAGGCAGCAGAGTAGTGCAGGGGAGTACAGCCTGTCTGGTCAGGCTCATTGACCTCAGCGCCAGCGCTCACCAGGGTCACAGTGCACTGGTACCTCCCATTAGCAGCCGCATAGTGCAACGGTGTCCTATAGGCAGGATGCAAAGAGAGAGAACAAGGTTAGTAGGAATATTTGTTTATGCATCTAGAGAATGATGCCTAATTAGTTTTACAGCATTAAAAACAGACATCTAACGAGGACAAAGGGGAACTCACCTTCCCATTATGTCCCTCTTATTCAAGTCAGTACCGCTACTTAAAAGCAAGTTCAGACATTCAACATTTCTGCAAAGACAGACGACAGTGAGAGAAAACTAAGTAAGAGTGCAACATGTTAGGTCATTTTAATATTCCAGTGCCGAAGCCAATTCCCCATCTTACCCTCCAGAGGCAGCAGCGTGTAGACAGGTCCTCCCAAAGTTGTCAGGGGTGTTTATGTCAAACCCAGCTGATAGTACGTGCTCCTTACTCATAGATGAAACTATACTATACAGCTGACCTGTATGGTATCAAACAAACAGCTGTCCAAGTGCACTGTACATAAACACAGACGATAAGTGCATAGCAGTGTGCACATTTACTGATGAAAGACAAACCTGAGGAGAGTAGCTTGCGACAACAGTCTGAAAACCCGTACAGCACAGCTAAGTGCAAGGGGAACATTCCATGGATCCCACGTCTAGAAAAGCACAACGTCGCAGAACAAAATGTTAGAAACCAAAGAGTCAATATATAAAGTAATATAATCCAGTTTAAACTCTATTGTTTTATAGTATTAGGCATAGACAGTAATGCTCCTTTGTATTAAAGGCTGTATTTTACTATTTTTACACCCTAATGACACTAATGTATTAATCAGCAATAGAGCTTAAGGCTTTTCCGGTACCTGGCCGTGTCTGCTCCGTTGGTCATCAGAGTGCTGATCAGCAGTTCATGGCCGTACTTAGCAGCAACATGGAGAGGAGTATTGCCATACTTATCCACACAATCAATTTCCCCACCTGATGGAAACAGGGAGTGAATCAAAGACTCATTAGGAGGAGCGAACAGCCTGCAACCTATTCTCACAGGTCATTGAGACAACACGGTCGTCTGTACCATTTTGGATGAGAATCTGAGAGCGGGTGAAGCGTCCGTGAATGGCTGCCATGTGCAGGGGGCTCTTCCCTTCTTTGCTCTGTAAAGCACAGAAAAAAAAACAAACATCTTTTTCATCTAAAATGTGGTGAACAGATCAGGACAGGAGATTTAGATTTTACTAGCTTATGAGACAAAAATCAAATTAACAGACACCTGAAGTAACAGGTTTCATGTTACTACAATGATCAGAAAAACAGCAGACTATACGTGTTTATGTGGGGGGTGCATGTAAGCTGCAACTACAGTGATTGATTTTATGTTAATCCTTTCATTTTTAAGATGTTTTCTTTCTCACACTCCACCTTTCTACACATACTATGCCAATGTTTCTGGCAGCTAAATGTGTGGATGAGATAAGTTCTCCACCCCTGCACATGTATATGAAAGTGTTTCTATAGGCAGGAATAGTGTACATCATCTTTATTCTTTCTCCATTTCCACCCCCATATGTTGATTTAATTAGTACAACAGCTACTATCCAAACACCCACCCGCCTATCTATCTTTAAGTCTGTGGTGGAAAATACGCACCATGTCCAACAGATTACAGTTCCAAACTCAAATAAACGTGTTGCACTTTGTCTCTACTTTTTGATGAAGTGAATATAAACACTTTATTGTCATCACATTACATGATTATTAACAACAAAAATACTAATATGATCAGCTGCACAGTCATTTCATACCTGCTGGTTGACATCTGCCCCATTATTGACCAGCAACTCCATTTTTTGCCCAGCACCTCCAGACACGGGGCCCCGTTGGTGGAGACGGCAGCCAGGTGCAGGGGGGTGTAGCCACACCTGTTGGGTTGATTAACATTAGCTCCATGGTTCACCAACTCGGTAGCCACCGCCTCCTGCCCCATGTAGCAAGCCACATGGAGTGCAGTGTTTCCAAAGCCATTGGGCTCATCAATCTGCCAGTAAAACACAAATGGGACACGATCAGACTGTACAAGGCCCTGAGAGGAAGGAAAAGCTGGAAATCTTAAAATATGTCTCTCTTGATCATACTTCAGTGGCCTATAATAAAAGCCTATTGACATTTGCCATTTAATATATCAAAACAGAACAGACTAATCTGGCTAATTTAGAAATATATATATATATATAAAAATGGAAGTAAAAAAATAATAATAATTTGCCTCTGCACCCATCCTCAGTAGGTACTTTACAATTTCAATGTGACCACTTGCAGCAGCAGCATGGAGAGGTGTGTAGCCCTGCTTATCCTTGCAGCTCTTGTCTGCACTGCGGGACACCAGCAGCTTCACAACCTCCACATGCCCTACAGGAAACACAGACAGGAGAAAACATGTCAGAATTATCTCTAGTAAATAACTTTATACTGTGAATATATATATAAAAATGTAAGTAAAAAAATAATAATAATTTGCCTCTGCACCCATCCTCAGTAGGTACTTTACAATTTCAATGTGACCACTTGCAGCAGCAGCATGGAGAGGTGTGTAGCCCTGCTTATCCTTGCAGCTCTTGTCTGCACTGCGGGACACCAGCAGCTTCACAACCTCCACATGCCCTACAGGAAACACAGACAGGAGAAAACATGTCAGAATTATCTCTAGTAAATAACTTTATACTGTGAAGACTCATCCATCTCTTCATGTTAGTAGAACTGGCCATAAACAACAGGAGGACCTTACTACTATCTGACAACAGTCATCTGTACTGTGCAGCAGTAGCGAGAAAGTGAAACTTGCTTACCCAAGTAAGCAGCATAATGGATAGGTTGTCTCTCCTTCTTATCAATGGCACTCAGGTTGGCCCCTTTGTTCAGCAGCAGCTTCACCATCTATAAAACAAATACATAAAATTGTAGAGGAACCATGCTTAGGTTCTTGTTACTTGAGAAAATCTCAAAAAGAAAAAAGTAAATAAGTCAAGTCTCACCTCCGGGAACCCGCTCTGAGCCGCATGGTGCAAGGCAGTTCTGCCAGTACGATCTGCCATGTTCAGGTTGCTCTGCTGGGTTAGCAGGGCCTCTGCACAGCGTGTAGAACGGTTGGCAGCAGCCACATGCAGCGGTGTCTGCCAGAACTTGTCTCGTGCATTTGCCTCTGCTCCACGCCTCAGCAGCAGACCCACTGCCCTCTGGGAAAAAAGGATGCAATTGCAAGAGCTTAAAGCATAGACTGCATCTGTGATTTACTGTATTTCCCTCAGTCAGTGCAATGTTTTGGTGCATAAACAGGGCTCCAAACTGCAAGTGATCAGTTGCATTTTACAACCAAATTCATTTATAACATAATAATAATCATCTTTATTGGCCAAGTATGTTACACACAAGGAATTTGTTTCCGGTACAGAACCAATGGCAGCCATCTGCGGCGCCAAATCAACCGATGGCTCTAACCATCGGAGGCAAAGTGCATCTGACTTTTTCAAAGGTGGCACTGGGTGCAACTGCAAAGTACGCAGGTTATTCATGAATGACTGCTCTCACTGTAGAAACGGTGAACAGACGTAACAATCTATGCAATACTGTCATCACAACATTTCTGTCAGTTGCACATCTCACGAGGCAGACTTCCAGCCACACTAACTCCGAGTCACGCGCCATCCCTGGACCCATTGTTTACGCTTCGAGTCCGTCTTTTCCTGTGACACATCTGAAATGTAACCGCCACAGACAGCTGCTTAAATCAGGTTGATCACCTGTTAGCCTATTTATGTGTTGGGAACTTTAATTAATAAATCCATAGATATAAATGCTGCCGATTCCTTGTTGACGAGCTACATGAAAACTATTTTTGTCCAATATATTTCTGATGTCAAGTCAGCCTGGGAAAGACCATGCTCTCCTCCTGCTGACAGAGCTGTTCTGACAAAAGATGCTGCAAGGAGTCAGTATAGACTGAACAGTTTAAAGTTGCGCATACATTCACGTCTAGTGAAGTTAGTAGCGGCTGAAACCCACCATCAAGTCCTTCTTTAATTAGTAGGCTACTCGTAACTTTAGCTCAGAAATGAGCTGGCACTAGCCAAGCTAGTGAAAGAGGTGAACTGTGCATGAAGTCCAACACAGACATCGCAAAAGAGCAGAAATTCTTCAGGACAAAAAAGGGCTACAAATACATCACATACACAAACAGCAAAGCATGTGGCCAATGCATTGGTTTATACTTGAGTTGAAATATCATAGCCTAATCATCACTGTCACAATCAGTGTTACCATTACCATCATGTTGCTTCCTAGGCTATAGAGCACTACGGCGACTACATAAAAAGAGCTGGTAAGTTATTTCAGAAGTGAGCTATAGAGCACTACGGCGACTACATAAGAGCTGGAAAGTTATTTCAGAAGTGATTTTTTTTCCATTTACTGTGTTCTGTAAATCTCCCTCTCAGAATTTCATTATATAGACTAAGCACACTGGATGATAAGTTTATTTAAAATAATCTGGAAAAAATATAGATCAATTTGCATTACGATGTAAAACAGAGGTGGTGCCACCAAACCTGGCAGTGGTGCAACCATCTGAGCGAGTCTGGAGCCCTAATAAATCTAAATGAATTCTATAATGCCCTGGGTGAACACAAAATAGAATTACAGGATGAAGTCATGTGACAGCTAATTACTCACTAATTACTACTGTGAAACAGCAAAAGGATATAAGCTATAACTTACTTCATTCCTGGAAGCAGCTGCCCTGTGCAACGGGGTCAACCACACATGGTCTTTAGCATTCACACTGGCACCTGACAGAAAAACGTTTTTAGTGGTCACATGGATGTTTGCAGGTGATGTGGTACAATGCTACACAGTGAACTGACAGTTCGGATCTCCGTCCTGGTGGTAGATAAAGTGCACCACACTTCTCTAAAGCAGAGCTATCAGAAATGTTTGCAGCTCCCTCACCTGATTCAATGAGGAGGTCCATTATATGGACGTCTCCCACACAGGCAGCAGCATGAAGTGGCGTACGGCGCTCTTGGTCCTGCAAGATAAACACATCATCCATCAAATGGAAAATGGCGTCATGTTTGATTAATAGTCTTTTCAACATAGCAACGTGTTTGCATTGTAAATAAATGTAACTGTTACTTCACACATACCAGTGCATTGACATCCTCCTTTTTGTGCAATAATAGTTTAACCTCTTCAGCATTACGATTGAAGATGGCCTGGACCAGAGGAGGCTGCAATACAGAAATTCCAGACAAGTTATTACGACGATAACGTTACATTAAATGACATTTTCACTGATCCGGAGCGGCACTAAGCTGTGGCTTCCCAGAGCACGTCCATTCTTCGTTAATGCCACTAACTATTCAGTAAAGCTGTTAAATGTGCTATCACGATGTCAAACGTTTTATTTAGTGGTTTTTTTTTTTGTTGCTCTAAATATGTCAATGCGATTTCTGGCTCGCACCAGCAAATACACTAAGCCCTGGCTGGGGCCTATAGGCCCCTTTCTCACCACTTACGTCAGCTAGCTAAGCGGCTCGAGCTAGCTGCTGCTGAAGAGCTGGCTGTGACCCAAAGCAGGGCCTAGACAAGAGCACCGCAACATATGCGTTCACGTACAAACACCGAGCACTGCAAAAACCAATGAATTATATCACTGCGATGCCCTTATCCGCTTCAGCAAACATGTACGACCAATACGCCAAATATGAAAACAAGTCGTTCAGCGAATAAGACGTAGCATAGTATGTTGCGCACAAGAGCAGGTCTTTCCCAGCAAATAGACTGCGCCACTGCACAAACACGGAGCTCTTGCTTCTAGCATACCTGTTCTGCAATGTTGAGTACTCCCATCTCCCAAACTCAGCCAGGACGGAGCTCCTTCATGAGGATTAAACTTCGAGGTATATTGCAGTACGCTACTGTATCCACTTCTCAGACTACACCCATAGCTGGTTGCAAACAGAAATGCGGTCTTGATCTGTCACTGTTGTTGTCCAACGTCTGGTTTGACGATACTGGCTACGACTGTGCTGGTCCGCCTACAGGCGTGGCGGTCTGTTTTGTCCTTCTCCGGTGAAATGGCGTCATCGTGTGGCACAAAACTGTATAGCAGGGGAAGACGTGAATGAAGCCGTTTGTCAGGTCAAGAGCAAGGTTTATCCGCACGAATGTTATTGTTATCTGTCTTATCTCATACGTTTAGAGTCTATGGAGCATGGAAACCAACAAAGTTAGCAACCACTTTAATAGGTACACTAAGGTAAGATTGTATGCAATTCATTGCAGCACTTCTGCCTTAACATCTGTGTTTATGAAGCTCAAAATATTTCAGTTTTGTTGAGGTGTTCCTAATGTTATGACCCTCTCATGTATGTAGCTGGGGAGGACAAAAATATAGGGGCACCTCTAAGTATAATATACAACAACAGTGCACCACCACCTTTAACTGTGACCTCAATAATAAACATATCATTGAATTTGTACATTTATGACAATTTCACCAAACACTGAAACATTCTGAGCTTGATAAACACAGATGTTAAGATGGAAATGTTGCATTGAATTACATACAATTGTACAGGTATATCTAATAACATGGCCGGTGAGTGTATGTTCACAAGCAGCACTTCATCAGAGCGTCATGTGATTTTCTTTCTTTTTCCATTAAAATATAATGTAGCCCAATCTCTTTTTTCAAAGATCATTGTATTTGTCATTTTATTTACACAAATAATATCAGATTATATTTAAAGATATATATTGTGGAGAAAGATGCCCCTTGGAGAATTTCCCCCTAACCATAGGCAGACCTTGCCCCAGATGTGATTTTTCAGGTATTTCACAAGCCCAGTTTATATTTAGTTCCAAACAGCTATCTAGCTAACTCTCCCTATGAATCTCTTTGTGATGTGAGGGTGTGTTTCTATGTCCCCCCCTTGTTATAACTTACAAATCATTAAATTCTAACAAGGACAAATGGGATCAGGTTACCTCACAATCCTGTGTTGGACAGAAATAAGCAACAGAAACTGGTAGGGTGTACTTTTTAAAACAGCCACCATTAAGGCAGGCGACACATAACATTTACTTTACTGATATTTGGTGGCCACAGGTCTCCCCCACCTTCCCCTACTTAACAAACATTCCATAAACATTGTAACAGATAAATAAATACAATAATGCTTTTGTATTAGCTAACGTGTTTTCAGCAGCTCACCTGAATTTGTCAACTACGCGAAGGGCGGCGCTAATGCAACAATTCCTGGATACCGACGCGCCATAAAAACCTAAAAGAAGAGGAAGAGGGGAAGTTCACCTCCGACACAGTTGGGGGCAGCATTTCCCCTACATAGCTGTTGCGCTAAACTGAAGTCCAACAAACAGAGGAGAGGAAGGAGCCAATGATCAGTTTGTCCCACCGGCGTTTTATTCCGTTAGCGGCAGAAGGTCGTCCGTATTTAGATGGTAATCGACAATACTCCAAACAAAAATTAACCAAAGTTATTGAATGTAGTTGCAATTGGGGGGCTGCAGACGTGGAGTGATGTGAGTACTGCTGAAAACAAGAGAAACGCGGCTATACGTCGCGTTTGTTCGGGCTCGTAATGCAGCTGCGCTAGCTAGGTTAGCTAACGTTAGCACTTGACTACAGTAGACTAACTAACTACGTGAATGGACTGCTAAAAACGACAGGCGACGTCGCTGAAGTGAAGATAACGTTAGTCGGCACGCCGGTGAATGCTCAGGTATTTTCGCAGGTCAGAATTAAGTAACGCTACGTGTGAAATTATATAACCGGACTAAAGCAGGGGTTTTGGCCTGGATCCGTGAACCCCTCTGTCCTCGGTCTTGAACCAGACCCCCGGCTCAGATTCTCAAACCAAGGAACCCTAGTTCTTGAGCTGAGTGTCTGGTTTGATGGCAGCCACGGCTTATGCCCGGCGATTACCCATGGGTGTCCGGACATTCAGTGACTTTCTCCATATTGCCACTATAGGCTCACCTCGTTCATGTCGTACAGCGGTACCAAGAGCATGCCTGCGGCAAAACATCAGGTGAGTATGTCATGGCGGTACTGTAATGATACTCGGCTAGTCCTGCACAGTATATTGTGACTGAACGTGTCTCCTTGGTATTGAATGGTATAACGTTACAGTTATATGCAAAGTCTGGGTAACCCTGGGTGTATTACATATTGTGTTGGTTTTGAAGTGGAGTGAAGTAAGTATAGTCCGTGCGTCAAACAAACATTTCCTCAAATGCTGTTGCACTGTTTAATTATATAATTCATTAAAGAGAATAACACCCAGCTAAGTCAGTACTTAGGTTCCGAAAGTAGATCCTAAATATGCAGCCTAAAATATCTAAGAACTTGTAGTGATCTACAGGAAGAGTGGCTGAAAATCCCTAAGTCAAGAATAGAAAGACTTAGTTTTCTAAGTACTGACTTGTACATGCCACAGTTACTGCTTGCTAATCATGCCATTAATGAGGAATAATTAAATAATGTTGAACTGGTACAGTACTTGTCAAAGCTTATTTCAGCGGATACAGACCATATATTGTAGTGATGCACCGAAATGAAAATTCTGGGCCGAAACCGAAAATTTAGGATGCACTTGGCCGAAAACCGAAACGAAACCGAAAATGGCTTCTTTT